GCCTTCTCGGCTCTCAACTCTTTGGCCGCCTTCAAAGCAGCCGCACTACTACTCCTTGCTTGTTCTTTGGCTCGGGCAAGTTCCGCCCGAAGGGTCTCCATGGTGGCAGCTCCATCTGCAGTCACAACATATTAAAGATATTGGCATCATGCTGCTCTTACTATGTGACATTCACCAGAAAACATTACTTACCATGTGCCTCGTCAAGCCGCTTGTTAACAAGCTCGATGTCGGCATCTGCCGCATCCAGTTGCCGCTTTAGTTCAGCAAGCTCATTAGTCCGGCCAGCCACTGGAGCTTCCACCACCTGCACATAAAGCGGTATGGTTATTACCTGGGACTACGATCCTCTGTTTGCCACCATTCTCGGCGACAACCAGAGTCTCGGGGGCTACTATCTACACAGGGCACACCTAAAAATGTGCGGTACCATCACAAATGTACATCATTTTACGTGCCTCAAAGCCCGTCAGTAGACTCATAAAGGCGTCATGCAACCCGCTTTCGGCGGATGAAATCCTTTCCATCACCGTACCCATCAATGTATGGTGTTCTTCTGAGATGGTCGCTCGCTCCAACAGTTCCCTCAGTACGTCCGACCGCATACCAGACGGTGCCGGACTCTTTTGTTTGCTCTCTTCAAGAGCCGGACGCTGGGGACTTCGGGTGGCTATAGGATTATCTTCTGGCCTCACCGGATCCAGAGAGGCCCTCCGTGACGACACTTCAAGGTCGCCCGCTTCTTGAGCGGGGGGAGTCCGGGGGAGGTGTTTCGCTCTCCATCATCTCCAGAAGAAGATCCCCCGAAGACGAGCTCTGCTGAGAAGGGCTAAGATCCGAACTGCAAGATAAATGCTTCGGTTATTTTCCTCAGAGGTAAGGTAGTATATCTTCACTATTAAAGTACTTTTTGATTACTTACAGCTCTTTGGAGGGCTGATCCCCGCGCGGACTTTGTGCGGCAAGAGCACCCTCCAAGGCAGGACCCTCTGGTGGAGATTTCTTCTCCCGTTTGGAAGCCTTTGTTTCCGGATCTTCAGAGGCAGTCCTCTTCCTTTCGCGAAGCGAGAGAAGGTCGGATTCTTCCCCTTGGTTATCCTCCTTCACGGAGGCGCTCATTCCCTCGGTTGGAATTGATAGCGATGGGGGTCTGCTTTCGCCCTCACTATTCCCCCCCCCCTTTATCTTCCTTTGAGGGCTCCGGGCAAGGTGCTAGCTCGAGCATCTTTTCCAGTACCAGATTTTCCAAACCCTCAGGAAGGGGGGCCGAACACTGAATCATCTTCTCCTTTGTTAGCCAGTCCTGGTCAAAGAGCAATTTCTCAGAATGACGTCATGATAAATGAAAGACAGTGTGTTCGGCTAGAGGATTACTTACTTGTTCGGCGGTGCGGTTGCTGCTCAGGCCCATGTCCTCGGTAGTATCCGGACACTCTATTTGGGGTCTGAAGAATGATTTATACATCTCCTCGTGCGTCAGGCCGAGGAAATTCTGAATAGAGCACGGTCCTTTTGGGTTGAACTCCCACATGCGGAGGGGCCGGCGTTTGCATGGCTGGATTCGTCGAACCAGCATGACTTGCACCACCGTAACCAGACTGAAATCTCCTTCGAAGAGATCTTGAATGCGGCTCTACAGTACAGGCACGTCCTTGGCTGGACCCCAGCTCAGCCCTCTGCTAATCCATGACATCAGTTGTGGTGGAGGGCCCGAGCGGAAAGCAGGGGCAGCCGCCCACTTGGCACTTCTGGGAGCTGTGATGTAAAACCACTCTCGTTGCCATAATCCGGACACCTTTGGAATGGAACCCTTTGGCCATGGAGCTCCAGCAATCTTGCTTATTAATGCGCCTCCGCACGCTACATGCTGCCCCTCGACCATCTTCGTCTTCACGTCAAAGGTCTTGAGCCATAGGCCGAAGTGAGGGGTAATGCGGAGGAAGGCCTCACATACGATAATAAATGCCGAGATGTGGAGAAAGGAGTCCGGGGCTAGATCGTGGAAATCTAGCCCGTAATAGAACATCAAACCCCTAACGAAGGGATCCAGAGTGAGGCCTAGACCTCGGAGGAAGTGGGAGACGAACACAACGCTCTCGTCGGGTTCGGGAGTAGGGATGACCTGCCCTCGGGTGGGCAGCCTATGCAAAATTTTGGCGGTCAGGTATTTGGCCTCCCTCAACTTCTTGATATCCTCTTCCGTAATGGAGGAGGGCATCCATTGGCCTTGAAGGCTAGATCCAGACATGATTGAAGGTCTGAAGTACCTGACCTGGGCTTTGGGTGTTAGAACTCGAGGCGGGGGAAGGATTCGATTGAGCACAGGAGGGAAAAAAGTAAAAGCCTTGTCCCTTTATAAAGAGGGTGGATATCAAGCGTCCTCTCCGTGGTCGTTTGGGACTTGCCTATAATCTAGGAGTCCTAGACACGGTTGGGTTACCCACAACCGTATTGATGAGAATCCCGTAATTAGGGGAACACGATCTCTGCTTTGACAAGATGTATCAAGAAACCGCCTCGCTTTATGTGTGGAGTTGGTTAAAGAAAAACGGTTCAAATAATCACCGAGCCATGGCATGATGTCATGTTGCCAAAACGTGTCAGCAGATAAAGATTTGTGGAAATATTATTCTCTCTACGGTGGTATGTGGAAACTTATTTTGCAGGGCCGGACACTATCCTTGTATTCAAATTCTTCTGTGATGTGTTCGGAGGAGGAACCCGCCTTGCAATGCCGAAGACAACACTGTGCGCCGGACTCATCGTCATTGAAGCCTAGTTCAGGGGCTACTGAGGGAGTCCTGGATTAGGGGGTCTCCGGACAGCCGAACTATATCCTTTGGCCGGACTGTTGGACTATGAAGATACAAGATTGAAGACTTCGTCTCGTGTCCGGATGGGACTCTACTTGGCGTGGAAGGCAAGCTAGGCAATATGGATATGTGTATCTCCTTCTTTGTAACCAACCTTGTGTAACCCTAGCCCCCTCCTGTGTCTATATAAACCGGAGGGTTTTAGTCCGTAGGACAACATACAATCATACCATAGGCTAGCTTCTAGGGTTTAGCCTCTCTGATCTCGTGGTAGATCTACTCTTGTACTACCCATATCATCAATATTAATCAAGCAGGACGTAGGGTTTTACCTCCATCAAGAGGGCCCGAACCTGGGTAAAACATCATGTTTCCTGCCTCCTGTTACCATCCGCCTTAGACGCACAGTTCGGGACCCCTTACCCGAGATCCGCCGGTTTTGACACCGACAGGCCCCAAGATAGGATCTCTTGGGTACAGAAGGTTGTGGTGGTGGAAATAGGGTTTCGTGGTGCTCCTGGTTGTTTTCAGGGTATATGAGTATATATAGGAGGAAGAAGTAGGTCGGTTGAGCCACGAGGGGGGAGGGCGCGCCCCCCTGCCTCGTGGACTCCTCGTTTGTTTCTTGACGTCCACTCCAAATTCTCTGGATCACGTTTGTTCCAAAAATAACTCTCTCGAAGGTTTTATTCCGTTTGATATTCCTTTTCTGCGAAACACTGAAATAGGCAAAAAAACAGCAATTTGCACTGGGCCTTGGGTTAGTAGGTTAGTCCCAAAAATAATATAAAAGTGTAAAATAAAGCCCATTAACATCCAAAATAGATAATATAATAGCATAGGACAATCAAAAATTATAGATACGTTGGAGACGTATCAGTCAGCGGACAGTGACCGGTCGCCCCTCAAAAAACGCATTCCACATCCGGATACCTCAATTAGAAACCACAAATCCATATTATTACATGCAACGTCAAACCTAATCTACGCGGAGCTCGTCCGGTTTCACTCCCCGCTCGCCCGGCTCCGCCCTAGCCATGTCCGGCGGCCGGCTGCGCTCCTTAGAGTGTTGGACCGGTCGCCGGCTAGGTAGGGTAGGGCATGGGACACGAGCTAGCTCATGGGACTCAAGGCCCTGCCATCTCCCATGCCCTACTCTTCCTCGTCGGAGACCGGAACCCGAACGGTGCCGATGGACGTCGGATCGATGATGAATCCATTCCGGGACGAGTCGCCACGTCCACCATGATGCGGTTGCGGCACCCGGACTGATGCGCCATACGGGGCGCCGGAGAATGCGACTCTGCCTCGCCGACATCCGTCGTCGCCTCCCGTGCCCGGTGCCTTGCACGGCGGGCACACTGTGTCGTGGCCTCGTCGGACGAGGCCCATGGTGCGTCCCGATGCTCGGCCCACCATCGGAGGGGTTGCGCGTCCGCCAGCGCGTTTGGACGCCAGACGGACCGCACGGCCTCCAGCGAGGCAGCTATGGCCGGCTTAGCGTCGGATCCATGTCCCATTTGGGCGGAAGCAATTGATTCCCGACAGATGGAGTCCGAGCAGAGCCATCCTCGGGCCTCCTCCCGGGCGCGGTGGAGTGCAAGCCGGACGGCCATCTCCTCCTCAGGGCCGCGCGGGATGAGCTCGGGGTCGACGGATCTGGAGGTGAAGGACTCGGATCCGCTGCCCGCCATGTCGGAGTGGACCGGAAGGAGCCGGAGACGAGTTTGGATGGTGGAGGGGAGTGGACGGGAGGGGAGTGAAGTGGCTAGGGTTTGGTCCGGCGAGCGGATGGAGAGGATTTTATGTGACGTGGTGGGCGTACCCGGGCGCTCCCATATCCGCTCCATGTTTGGGCTGGACATAGAGGGTGCCTGTCAACCCGGACGTTTAAGGGCCATTTGAGAGGCCTGTCTGGGTTAAAAAATCGTGACCGGACGGCCTGCCCAAACGTTTGAGACGGGTTTGAGAGGTCTGGTTGTAGATGCTCTTATGAGAGTACTCCCTCCCTACCAAAACATATGACGTTTTTGTACTAGTTTAAATTGAACTACAAAATCGTTCTATATTTTGGTACAGGTAGTACATCAAACGTGTAGACGGCCACAAAGCAATCCGCGCACGGCTCAGCCCAGCAGCGTTCATCGGCCATTTCCTCTTCTCCTGTTCACTCGGCAAGTCTGCAGGATGGACACGGCGACGCTCGTTGCGGGCGGCGGCGGCGGACGTGAGCTGCAGCCGCGGGCGTCTGGAGGGAGCATCGAGGGTGAGGTGGAGCAGCTTAGCACTGCCCTGGGAGACGGGAAGTCGGTGCCCACTGAGGCCGAGGGGAATGGAATCAAGATCGTGCAACTCCGGCGGCTTCTCGAGGAGGAAGGCCGCGATGTGGCTTCACGCGCCGACGCCCTCGTGAGCGAGCTGCAGCCGTGGTCGTCCGGCGGGGGGATCGAGGGTAAGGTCCGGCAGCTTCACACCGCCCAGGAAGTCTTCAAGTTGGTGCTCGCTGAGGCCGAGGGCAAGCAGATCGAAAACGTGGAGTTGGCCCGGTCTCTCAAGAAATTCCGTCAGATGGCCTCCCGCGCGGGCGACCTCGTGGGCGAGCTGGAGCACTACCGCATCCAGGAAGAGCTTGAGCAAGAGGGGCACGAGGATGATGACCATGAGAAGGTCAGTGTTTCTTCAATTTCTTCAGCCTGGATGCAGCCATTTGTTTAATTGGGCAAGAAATCCTCATGGGGGGAGAAATCCCGTTTGTTTGTTTGTTTGTTTGTTTGGAATGGGATAGGTTCCGGTGACTGATTTATGGAATTATAGCCTATTAAATCTTCTATTTGTCTTTGGGTGTCGTGCAGGATAGTCGGGTGGATGGATCCCAGAGCCGCCTGATTCTGGAGAACACGGAGTCGGCCGAGGTGTTTCAGGTTAGCCGCTCCCATTCCTCTACAGCTTGCCTGGTAACTACGGAGTATTTGGGAGGGAAACAGAAATTTGGGGAAGGGAGTCATAGTGAGCTCATTGCACCATATCGGCGCTTGGTGCACAAGCTTTCGTAAGCTCTTTGAGCCAAAACAGGCAAAACGACATGAGCATGACAGTAAAAAAAAAGAGAAAATATTTTAGCAAAAAGTTGTAAGCAGCAAATCAAGTTACGTAATTAGATATTTTACTTGTGTTAAAAATCTGCAAGTAAATATACAAAGTAGCATGGATAACATAAAAATATATGATGATGTGAGTGCAAATGTTTTGGCAATATTAGATACAGACACTATCGATAGTTAAATGGTACATTATGGAAGTATCTAGGGACATGAATTTATTATACCAATAGAAAAACACCACTACAATACAACCAACAAGTAGGCAGGTTGATAAAGAGAATTTGGTTCAGATGAGCTATCAATGTTAATTTTTAATTTCTCATAACAAAATCTCAAAAGATGGTGGGAGATGACCGAGGGACGGGAAGTGGATCGAGAGAAAGATGGAGATATGTATATGAGTCATGATCTTTCAAGGCAAGCCGCATATGCACTGAATGAAATACTTCTATCAAAGCGCAGTTTTGTTTTCACTAGACGTTCATTTATGATTTAGGCTATAGTGGGAACAATAGGTTGTTGCCATGGAGCCAAATATGTTGAAAACATATAATACATTAAAAAAAATCTAAATCTAGCTGCAAACGCGCATGTCACCATACTGATGAACTTAATTCTTGAGTCCATATGTTAGATTGAATGCCAAGATAGTCCGCGTCAAACCTTAACTTGTTTTTTTTTTGTACTGGATATATATGTAGATGTGAGAATTTATCTTGGTTTCATGGTTTCGAAAAAGAATTTGCCTTGGTTTACTCAGCCTGGTAATACAAACCAAATGAATGACACTGTACTTTACTTACCTGGAGAGCGAACTGACCTCTCCAATGATGTTGCATCTCAGGTTGGTCAAGACACTGGAGAAGATTGTGCTTTTTGCACAGAAGATTCATCTTCAGCCGCTCTTCAGATTCTGCCCTATGTTGCCAACTCTACGGTCCCTGCTAGCAACACTAGCCTGGAACCTCGTCTTGGCATTTCACGTGAGATAAATGAACACATTCGGGCATGCTGCAAAATGGCCAAGATTCTGCTTGAGGCTCTTGTGCCAGCAAAACTGGATGACCTTTCCCGTATTGTGCAGAAAAATCAGAGCATAGGAACCAATCTTCGAGAGACGTCGTCTTTCCTCACTGAACCCAAAGTTTATGGTAGGGACGAGGACCGGGATCGGATAATAAGAAAGTTAACAAGTGATGAATCTGCTGGGCAAGACCTCTCCATCCTTTGTATCATCGGTTATGGAGGTGTTGGGAAGACTACTCTGGCCAATGTGGTATTCAATGATTCGGCTGTCTCAAAGCATTTTCCTGTACGACTGTGGGTTTATGTGTCTGCTCACTTTGACCAAGCTAAGATTATACGCAAAATGTTGGAGTCCTTGACTGGGAACAAGCATGAAGACATCAAGAGTTTGAAGGACCTCCAGAGGACTCTGGAATCTGAAGTGAAGTCAAAAAGGGTGCTTCTTATTCTGGATGACATCTGGGAAGACAGCCAAAAGGAAAAATGGGATGATCTGTTAACTCCACTACAGTCCAATGGAGTCAAGGGAAACAAGATACTTGTCACAACTCGGAAGCCTTCTGTTGAGAAATTCATGAGAGCGAATGCTAAAATTAATCTGGAGGGTTTAGATCCAGATGACTTTTGGCATTTGTTTACGGAATGCGTTTTTGGAAATGAGAACTACAAAGTACCTCCAAAACTGCAGAAAATTGGGAAGGAGATACTTGTCAAATTAAAAGGCAATCCTTTAGCAGCAAAAAGTCTGGGCAAAGTATTGAGAAGGGATCATAATCCTGATTTCTGGGCAACTATTCTGGATAATAATGAATGGAAGCACAGAACTGATGACTATGATATCATGCCGGCCTTGATGATCAGCTACAAATATTTGCCAGAGCACCTCCAGCAGTGCTTCTCGTACTGTTCTTTGTTCCCCAAGTATCATAGGTATGAGAAAAAATGTCTGGTCAATATTTGGATAGCCCAGGATTTGGTATCTTCCACTGATGTACGGCTGGAGGAAGTTGGAGGTCAGTTCTTCCATGATCTAGTCGAGTGGGGCTTTTTCCAAAAGGAATTTGAATTTGGAGACTTACACATCATGCATGATCTCATTCATGATTTGGCACAGAAAGTTTCGTCGGACGACACGTACACTATAGAGAACAGTGAGCATAAAGAAGCACCCTGGCTTGTTCGTCATGTCAGTGTAATCACAGCAAGGGAGTACACGTCTCAAGTAGATGGAACGGTGCTTCTTAATGAGCCTTTTGTGCAAGAGTTTGCCAATTCATTCGGCAAATTGAAACAAAGTAAATTAAGCACATTTATGCTATTTGGACCGCTTGACTTGGCTATTGGAAACACAATTCGTCAAGAATTCAGTGAGGTGAACTCGGTTCGTGTGTTGACATTGGAGATGGCAGTCTTTGATTTAGATTTAGTGATAGTAAACATCTCAGCATTTGTCAATCTTCGCTATCTGGAGTTGAGCTGCTTTTATAAGGGACCCAGGTTAGAACTGCCAGAGGCAATATGTAGCCTATCTCATCTGCAAGTCCTGGATATAATGAAGAACTGGGGAGATAGCACAGTTTTACCGAGAGGCATGAACAAGCTTGGTAAGTTGCGCCATTTTATTGCCAGAGATGAGTTGCATGCAAAAATAGCCGGTGTTGGGAAGATGGTTTCCCTTCAAGAGCTCAAGACATTTTGTGTTCGAAAGGCAAGTGAGTTCAGCATAATACAACTCAAAAGATTGAATCAACTCAGAGGATCAATTAGAATTTGCAATCTTAAAGATGTAGGAAGCCAAGAGGAGGCTGCGGAAGCAAGGATATGTGACAAGGTCCACCTCACTACTCTGCACCTATCATGGAGTGGTGTGAATGGGCAAAACGTTGGTTTTTCAAGTAACTGTTCTATCCTCGAGGATCTCCAGCCACATGCTGGCCTTGTAAATCTTAAAATCGAAGCATACAGATATCCTTCACCGTCATGGCTCAGCAACAATATTCATCTCACCTCATTGCGGTCACTCCATCTGGATAACTGCAAAAAATGGTGCACAATTCCAGAACCCAAGCACTTGCCTCTGCTCCGAGAGCTAAATTTGCGTCATATGCCTCGTGTTCGTGAAATCGTGATTGGTCGTTTGGAGATTCTGGTATTATACTACTTGCCATGTTTGAGGCGCTGCGCAGTTTTGAACGAGGAACAGTTATCTGAGAGTCTACAGGTTCTCGAAGTTGAGAATTGTGATCGATTGGTAGAGTTTCCCTTGCCGGTACTGCAAGACTTCCAGTTTACTAGTCTTCACCGGCTTGTCGTTCATATGTACTTTTGCTTCAGACACACTAACATCCCTCAGCTTCTGCGCATGGATTCTCTAAAGCATGTAGATTTGTGGTTGCAACCATCTTGCCAGGAATTTCAACTACGATTAGGCCCATCAAATGCGCTCCGCATGCAAATCATAGGAAGTCATTCTCAACCTGTTCTGAGAATAGAGGAAAGTTTGTTCGGGTTTGACAAACTAAAAAATTTGGTGGAGCTTGAAATCACAACGTATCCACATCTGACATACCTGCCATGGGAGGGCTTGCAACACTTGACATCGTTGAAAAGGTTCAAAATGATAGTGTGCAGCAAACTGTTTTCTAATAATGTTGAGTTCATTCTGCCACCATCAGTTGAAGAACTCGAGTTTCATTCCTGCAATATTACGGAGCAACATCTGTCGCAACTCCTGCTGAACCTTCCATCACTCAAGAAACTTGTCATAACTAACTGTGAAGAGGTAACGTCCTTACCTGTAGGGCTGTTTACAGATGAACACAGCCAAATGCCAGAAGGCTCGTGGCACATTGCTTCCAATTGTTTGCCGAGTCTTGAGAGGTTGCAGATCACCTTCCCAGAGGGTAGTAGTGTAATTGCGGCGATGCATTTTTCAAACCGGAAGGGCTTTGGAAGATTTGTCTCTCTCAGGGAAGTCATCATTGAAAATTGTCCTACTCCCCTATCCACTATGGTTTCAGGAAGAGCATCTAAAGTCCCTCCACCTTCTCTAGTAAAACTCATTGTGACTGACATCGAGGACAGCTGTCTGCAGTTTTCACAACTCTCTTGCCTTGTTGAATTACAAGTCTTGCGATGTTCGTCTTTGACAAGCGTCAACCTGGATTCTTGCACCGCATTACAAGACCTCAAGATTGAAGGATGTAAATTGCTATCGTCAATTGAAGGTTTGCAATCATGTAAAACGTTGCGGCATTTGAGCATCCACGGTAGTGAAGCGCTACTATCACTCAGAGCATCGCTTAGCACCCTGACAACAGTGAGTATAGAGAAGAATCCAAATTTGGCATGTCTTGACCTGCACACATGTACAGCACTGCAGAAACTACGCATTGAAGGCTGTGCTACAATGGCTTCTTTTGAAGGTATTAAATCCCTTGTCGGTCTGAAGGAGTTGAGAGTTGAGAACTCTCCAGGCTTCATAAGGTCATGGATTTCAGCAGCAGCGGAAGTTGAGAGCGAGGACAGCTACTTCATGGGAACACTTCAGGTGCTTGATATTGATAACATTAGTGTCCTATGTATGCCCATATGCTGCCAGTTAACTTCTCTGAAGACACTGACCATTGATGGAGCCCGTACGGTGGGCGTATTGACGGATGACCATGAGAAAGCGCTTCTACTTCTCACCTCCTTGAGACATCTTGAACTCAACAACTTTAAGCATCTCAGGTCACTGCCGGCTGAATTCCAGTCCCTTGCATCACTGGAAAGATTTACTCTTGTCAATTGTGAGCGTATCACTTCCTTGCCCGTGGGGGGTCTCCCGGCTTCGCTGAAGGACATGGATCTGAAAGGCTGCAGTAAAGAGCTAAATGCATCGTGCATAGAAAATTATCAAGCTCGAAGGTTGCATCTATGGGTTGACGGAACCGCATATGAATAAATCCACTTACTAAGGCCCTGTTTGGTTCAGCTTTTGTCGACGGATTCCGCTGCCGCGCAGCAGAATCTGAACCAAAGGGCGAACCCAGCAGAATCCGATTCCAGAAATCCGCTGCCAAAATCTGAACCAAAAGCGGAAGCAGCCCAAGACGTGCTTTCCAAAAATCTGATTTTGCTGCGGGCCAAAATCTGAAAAAGCTGTATCAGCTGGTTTGCCAAATGACCTACATCTTTTTTACATCAGATTTTTCACAGCTGTTTTTCCACAATAGATTTTTCACAGCTGCTTTTAGAAATCCACAGCCGAAGCAAAACAGGGCCTAAGTGCCTGGATGTGGTGTGGCACAGCAGCCCTTTATGGTGTTTGGGCCTCGAGAGCTTCCATGTGAGATATCCTTTTCCACCACATACCATAAGCTGTTTCATTATGAGATAAATATAAAGCCTCTTTTGATTCAAGTCATTGGCTAACATTTACTCTGTCCGTATATGTCGTTTACGTACACAAGTCACAATCATGAATTTTTTTAATACGAATGTAATGACATCAACTTCATGCCACATGAGCCACATGTTAAGAAAGTAATTGCTGGTCAAAGACTTGTCTTAACGAACCAATATATGCCTTGCATTTTTGGACAGAGTGAACAACAAATTTCCTTTCCTATTTGTGTTGGCCACTGTAGAAACAAAGGAAACTATTGTGCCAGAAACATCGACCAAGTCTTATTTTGATATATTTATCCTCCACCAGCCTGTTCCGGACCATTCCTAACTACTCCCTCCGTCCCATAATATATGATGTTATTACAACCGATATATGAGTTATATTGGTTGTAATAACATCATATATTACGGGACTGAGGGAGTAGAAGAGTTTATTTGTGGTAGAAATGCAGCTAAGCCATTTTGCTATGCAATCTTTAATACTGACAGGGGAATCCAAGCTGGCTCAGTTGGAGTAATTGAACGCTAGGATCAAAAGCCGAAGGAGGAGACCGTGATATTAAAGTGCAAACACCAGGTTGACAAATTTTTTGCCTCATATGTGATAGCCTTTTCTTTTAGGGTCCTCATATGTGATAGCTGGTGTCACACCTGCGAGTCTGGTGACTACGGTGGACTGAGAGTTGTGTGGGCCGTGGGCCTTGTAAGAGTGTGGGGCCAGGATCAGTGAATTGTTCTGAAATCTCACCCTGTTTCTCTGTTGTGTTCTCACAGCCTTCTTCCTCTCCAAGCCAAAATCCTCACCTACTCCTCAATCCCTTCCTCGCGCGATCCAGATCCTGGGGGCCGCGTCTCGTCACAGCCCGTATTGCATTACGCAGGTTCAGATCGCTGGGTGGTTTACTCTCAGGATTTCTCACCAAAAGCACATCAACTTCTCCGGGTTCGGAATGACGCTTCCAGGCCAGAGAGAGGATTGCCCATGCTCATTAAAAGGATTATTATGCTGCTAATTGCCTTGTCAGGCAGATCCAACACCACCATGTGTTCATCATGCTGCTGCTATTTATCTTGATTGAATCAACTGTACTGTTTTTTCCTGTATATATTAACAGAAATGAAGTGTGCTACCTGTAGCCTTGTTGGGTGAATCAGATGTGTGCACAGAAACCACTGTCCACTTGTGCTCCTTGCTAAGGTGTTAATCCCATGAGCTTGGAACTTCACCCACTAAAAAACTTGTTTTGCTCAACAGGTGTTGACATAGTATGATGTTTGTGACTCCACTTGCCACGAAAAAGCACATCCAAACAAGAATCTTTCTTAAGGAAATTACAAAGTGCTGCAGAATCGAGAGTTTTCATATGTTGGAACAACATAAGTGAAATAATGCACCTCATACACATGTTCATGTGAAAGTGGCATGCAGCGTCTAAGTTACTAATAATGTGAAGCAAGTTGCTCCCAATGAACCATATAAAATGTCACACAAGTCTAACTCTGCAAACTAAAAAAAAAATACTGCTCAGGAAACAACTTTTGTACACACTCACAAAATACAGAGAGCTCTTGGCCAAACTCATTTCATTAGTGTGGCCGCCCAGATTCTAGCATGGAAAGTACCATCGACAAGCTCATTTCTAGACAGTATTCGGCTAAAAAATCACCTTCCTGTGTGCGGTTGTGTTTCAGTCAGATGTTATGTGGGTCAACCAACTGTCAGTGGCAGGAGATGTTATTTGTTCCATAGCTTATGCGCTGAAGGCTTGTGTCCAACATATCTGTCATCCATCTCTGAGGCCCGCCGTCATCTCCAATAACATTGTATGCATATGACGACAGCCCAACATCCTCGCCACATGAGCTTTCCACCCCCAGCTTATACAGCCTTTCTGTTCTAGATAAAACTACGAGGTTGGAAAATGTTGAGAAGCTATTGCCAACAAACACATCTGCTCTCGCGCACACCTCAAAGTCGATGGCAGACTTTAGAAGGTAAGGCTGCCTCTCGTATATGTCAGTAACTCCGAGTTTCTTCTTCTCATAGGCAATCATACCCACTCTCCAGCCACTGGTGACAGAATCATCTTCTAGAAGGCTGTCGGCTACAGCAAGATAAACCACAACCGGCCGGCGTAGATCAGTGATCTGTGAGACCTTATGAATGATCTCTCCTTTGCTGCTGCAGATTTCCTTCAAGTTAGACCGCTTCTCCCACTTCTTGCAGTGGATCATCCAGTCCTTCTCTATTCTCATGTGAACAGCAATGTACTGCACAGGCAGATTTAACGAACCATCATCTATACTCTTCTTTTTATGGGAAATAGCAGCCTCGTGTCTTGCTTTTTCCCCTGCATCTTTAATCTTGGATATGACCTTGACTACTTCAGCTTCTATATCAGGAGCTAAGGCAAGGCAATCGAAGACCTTGGCATAGTTTTTCACTGGCCAATGGTCAGGCCACAGAAACGGATGTTTCCCAGTGACATGAATTACTTGATAGCCATCGGCTTCACCCGTTTTGGACTGTTGCAGCTGATCCAAGTCTCTCTCCACTGTCCACCTCCTACCACTTCCCTTTTGTAGTTTATAGGGCTCAGTATGATTCGAAACCTCGGAGTACCGAGCTAGCCTTGCAAACCCATGACAGCGTGCATTGAATTTGGTGAAGTCAAACACCTTGTCGAAAGGAATAGGCTGCAGCAAGTCAACCTCTTTGTAAAAAAGTGAAGCACTCAGACTTGGCATGAGCAGAGACCGATTCAGGAATTTGGCAGTCAAGCATGCCCTGGCAAATGCGATCTTCTGATTGTTCAATCCCCATATAATCTGTGGGACCTCAACAAACTTGTCTTTCCTAACTCCAGGAAACAGGTCAAGGGTTGATGGCTCATAAAAACTCTTCTCAGACAAATTAATGGCGAGAAAAGGGGAGACAATCGCTCTCAATACAATAAGACCAATCACTACTAGAAGGCATTTGCAAATGACAGGCCTCGTCGGCAAGCTAATGTGCTTGAGATGCTTAAGGTCTAGTAGGAAGTTCATTGATACAGTTCTTTGATTCCTTCCCGTCCCAAAAGGTCATTTATGATTTTATCACCCAATGGTGCAAGTTATCTCATTCCAACACCAGTGGCACATGATCAACATTTCCGCTTCATTTTGTTGCTGAAGTACAAACTGCGCTGCAACCTAATGGGTTCAATAACCAAACACGCTTGGATGTCTGCACCAGTTCTTCCTGGGAAACGAGTAAATTAGATTTCAAGCTCAGGGCATTCAGTTACTAGTATAAGCATACTTCTTGAACCCAGTAACAGTTTACTGTACGCTCCGCCAGAGAGGCTGCAACTGAAATGAAATGGAAAACAAAGACACAACTCAAGGTTATTATGCTGCCACACTTCACATGCAATTTCAAAATCTACCAAGTGACTACATACAACCTCTGTTGATTGTATTTGCTCATAGATGAACTGTCTTAAGAGTAAAGATTAACTAATTAACCATAGCTCGAAGGAAATCACCTAGAGTCATTTTACATCGGTTTACGGAATGCCAGATATGTCGGCGGCGACCACTAGTAAAGCAAGCATAAACAGCAAGGTTATACTCATACATGTTCAGTGTAATGAGTTTAACTATCCTAACACCACCTAAGGCAGCAGCTTTTGTACATCCAAGTCCAATTTATAAATTTCATCATTTCATATGGATGTCAGCATGCTAGCCTGACATACTGGAGCCATTCACTAAAACTAAAAATGAATGTAAACAAAATCATGCTCACTGGTCACTACTCACAAAAAATGAATCTTGACTTTTGCAGGAGAAAAAATACACCTGAGCAAATAACAAATGGCTTTGCAAAACATAGCAGCTCCAAGAGCGAGGGCAAGCAATCACTAGTCTGACTATAGATTTAGATCTGGCAGAACCTGCAGCAGCTATAGAAAGAAAAAAAAACAAGAACACAGAAGCTGAGCCGTGTCGTCCATACCTAATCTGAGCAGATCTTTCATAGGGAAAAGCTCCAACTGGCCGCCCTCGGCCGGGCCTCGCATGAACCCACTGCTTTGCCCCACCTCCACTCCCAAACTTCGCTGCAGCCGGCAAGGCACGGCTCCCCCTTCGCCGCCGCAGGCGCCCACCCCAGCCCTCTCTCCAAGGCCGCCGTTCCTCCCCCGGAAGGCCCGATCCAGCTCGAGCGAGTGGCTTGATCTGGTGCAGAGGAGTGGGTAGGAGGAGAAGGGAAGCGGCCGCTCGACGCTATTCCGGTCGCCGGAGGCAGATCACGGCGAGCTCACCACGGGGGAGGAGCGAAGAAAGAAATCTGGGAAGGGGAAAACGGGGAGCAGGTCGGTCAAGGGGGGAGAATGTGCACGAAGCGGTTCACGTGCGATAACTCCTGGCCCAGTTTGCCAGTGGAAGGAAATTCCCATTCCTTTATTTTATTCTTAATATACAGTATATTCTTAGGACCCATATACAGTGTATTCTTAGGACCCCAACAGCAGACGAACGTTCGCTGTGAGACATGACAACTGCAAACATTTTGTATCGCAATTTCTTTGAAAGCATGTGGCAATTCCTTCACAGACACATGACAACTTCTGGCAAGCCAAGGATTTTGTGTGAAAATTGTCGTGTTCGCTTGAAAGAACTGGCATGCTCCTAACAAATAAGTTGCCGTGAAAACGTTCGTTTTGTCATGCACCACCAGCGAGCGTTCGTTGAATAACATTATCCTATTCTTACTACTCCAGAAATTGGAGCAAATCAAATGATTAGAACTCCAAGGTGAATTTCAATCAACCATTGAAATGCTTTGTTTGGATTCCATCGGCAACAAGAGCAATTTATAAAGTAGTCCAATAATTTGTTGATTGGATATCATATGATGTCATTTGCAGTGGTGGCAGAGCTAGAACTTTATCGAAGCCTAGGCACACGACATGTGCAATTAACTTGACATCTCTCCGTCAATTGGGCCTACCTGCTGGCGTTGATGGACCATATTGGCTTTGGTTAGCGATGGCGGAACTGGATTTGTCGGTCTCTTGGCACTTTTCATCTTGCGTCATCCTTAATGGTTACCCAGGTATGCCTTTTGACCACATAAAGAGCCTCCGGTAAGGGTGTCCCCTATCGCCTCTGCTTTTCATCTTAGTCAATGATCTGCTGCACCACCTTATTCACCTCGCTGCAAACTTAGATGTCCTCAATGTACGTTATTCCGTGCAGACCACTACTTATTAAATGTATTCATAGTCGTAAAGACTTACAGATATCCTGATGATGTGATCGACATTATCACAATGATATAAAGTATTATCATTGTTCAGCTACCATGTGATTCAGCAGGCTGTTAAAGAAATTTGCATATGTTTGACATATGGAGTAGTAATGAGTAAACCACATCATTGCAGTTACCTAATTATTTGTTTACACAGACTTGTGCTGGTTTCCCAAGTGCTCATTACGACCGATGCCTTCCAAAACGTTATAGCAACTCCCTGGATCATCTTCCTTTCTCCTATGTATAGACATGGCTCAAATCTGCAAGGTCTGGCTAGCCTTTTGATTCTGCTATGTAAAATTATTATATACAATTATTTTACATGCTATAAAACAACATCTTTTTCTTTGATCAGTTTTAGTTACAGCAAAAAAATATGGTTGTTTCTTGATGGGGAAGATGCAAGAGAAGGATGAGGATGCGACATGCGACAGTGGCGGTGGCCTTCTTGGCCACCAGATCAAGATAACAACAATTGGGAGGCTAGAGTCACTAGTGTGCCTCCGATGGTGCTAGGCTGCTAGCTGCTACGATGCACAAGGTGTCGGCACATCACCACAAAATCCATGGGTATTTCACTCTTCTCCTTTCGGCGTGCCCCCAATTTGCAATGATTTGATTTGGTTCCTTGATCCCCTTTTCCTAGGTTTTGTGCATGCCACATTAATCCCCTTTTCTAGGGTTCGATTGGCAATGAATCATATAAATCATTAAAAGCAACAAATTCTTCTATTCATTTCACGTCATAGTAATCATATATACCATTGGCATAAGAAGCCAAGGTTTCATTATCATTAAATTTGCATGAAAAGGAAAGGTGTGGAGCCTTCATCCTAGAGCAACAAGTATAATCATATCTCAAGCATAGTTTCCGAGCATACCAATGCAACTTATGAATTTGATCCCATAAGAGTTTCTCTTTTTGTGTCAAGCAATAATCTCTAAAGTATTCACGTTGATCCAACGTTACTCCCACTATCAAGTTAAATGTGGTTTTCTCAGGATTATCAAAGTAGTGCATAATATTTTTCACATAATGAGCATCAAGGGTTTTAGGAGGTCCCCCATCTTCATGAGTAGCAAGTAGAACTAATTTTTTTGGGTATTTCATGTTCCATATCCATAGCTAAAGATAGAGAACAAGTTAGAATAGAAAATAAAAACTACTTAGTGATAAAGCAAACAAGCACACACACACACGAGAATATTCACCCCATGCTATTGCTCCCCGGGAACGGCGCCAGAAAAGGTCTTGATAACCCACAAGTATAGGGGATCGTTTGTAGCCTTCTTTGATAAATAAGAGTGTCGAACCCAACGAGGAGCTAAAGGTAGAACAAATATCCCCTCAAATTCTATCGACCACCGATACAACTCTATGCACACTTGATGTTTGCTTTACCTAAAATAAGTATGAAACTACTTTGCAAGAATAAAACTACGAGTACTTTGCCAGAATAAAACTACGAATAAATTGCAAGGTAATAAAAGTGGATAGCTTTTGTCAACAAGAAAGTCATTTGTCCCTAAACAATCGATAACAAGTACCGGTAATCATTCTTGCAATTCTATATGAGGGAGAGGCATGAGCTAACATAATTTCTCTACTTGGATCATATGCACTTATGATTGGACCCCTAGCAAGCATTCGCAACTACTAAAGATCATTAAGGTTGTGAAACCCAATCATAGCATTAATATCAAGTCCTCTTTATCTCATACGCAACAACTCACCTACTCGGGTTTAAGCTTCTGTCACTCTCGCAACCCACCATAAGAAAATCATGAACGTATTGCAACACCCTACAGCAGGGACCCCTCACGTTTGCACGAGATGGAGGGCACCGTAGGACAGCACCATAAATAAAATATACAATCATACCAACCAAGATCACGATTAACCCACATGACAAAACAGATCTGCTCAAACATCATAGGATAGCCAAATATCATTGGGAAATAATATATAGAGTTGAGCACCATGTTTAAGTAGAGATTACAGTGGGGGGAAGAGGTGTTACACCGCTGCATAGAGGAAGAGAGAGTTGGTGTTGACGGTAGCAAGATTGTTGATGTAGATCGCCGTCACGATCCTAGCCCCGGCGGCGCTCCGGCGCCACCGGGAGAGAGGAGGAGAGAGCCCCCCTCCATCTTATTCTTCCTTGCCCCCCCCCCTAGATGGGAGGAGAGTTCCCTCTCTGGTCCATGGCCTCCATGGCAGCGGAGGGGCGGGAGCCCCTCCGAGATTGGATCTCCCTCTCTGTTCTCTTCTGTTTCGCGTTCCCCAGATCTGGCGGAAAACCGTTTCTTATATTTCCGGAGATCCGTTATTCCGATTGCGCTGAGATTTTAACATATTTTTTTTCTGGATATAAGCTTCCTTGCGCACGAAGTAGAGCCCCAACTGACGTACGATGTGAGCACAACCCACCACCACGTGCCTGGAGCCTGGGGCGCGCCCTGGTGTCTCCTGGGCATTGTGGGCCTCCGTTTGCGTTGATTCCAAGTCCCAAAATCACATATATTCCAAAATAATTCTCCATAAATTTTTATCGCATTTGGACTTCATTTGATATTGATTTTCTGTGAAACAAAAAACATGCAAAAAACATGAACTGACAGGCACTGGATCAATAGGTTGGTCCAATAAATCATATAAAAAGTTGCCAAAAATATGTGAAAGTTGTATAATATTGGCATGAAACAATCAAAAATTATAGATACGATGGAGACGTATCAATCATAT